TGGTGTTCCCTTTTTTTCTCCATCCAAAAACGACTCGACCTGATGGACCCGACACCAACCGGATCCGCCCCGAGGATCCGAAAATCCACGAACATCGAGGACAAGCACGACCGATTTCTGCAGGTGCAGCGCCACAGCCAGCCGAGCGGCGGCCTCCACGTGATCGGACGGAGCGTCTGTTTTTAAGACAGGGGCCACATTCTCGGGACGGCCCTCAACTCTCAACCCTTGGGAAGATGAAAAAAATATATTTATACAAAGGCTTGCATGAGCAATGTAACAGTATGGAATTATATATATATATATATAGACTTATAGATTTAATTCACGTTCTTTGTCCGTCTCGTCTTTGTTATTTACAGGGAAACTTCAACTGAAACCAACCATTGGGCCCGATAGGGACACACTTGCGCCACCGGCCCTTGGGAAGTTGTGGGCTTGGCATTGGCAGGCATGAGTTGAGTTGCTGTTGCCTGTAGCCTCCTTGTTTGATGCATGTCCTCGCTTGGTTGAGACATACAGAATATATTATCAATGATATAGACAGAGAGATTTGCCGTTGCACTCCAGACAAAGGAGCCTATACTTCATCCGGCCAGGATGGGAAGGAAGTCAGAGGGAAAGTCGCCGCCCAAGTGGGGAGCAGGGCGGATCATAGAAAAAACTCGTGTTGACGTATTGAGAGTTTGGGGTTGAACAAAAATTGAGACTACCCGGGTGACTTGTGCGCCTTCATTCAGCGCTCTCCAGGACTAGGATCATTGTCATGCTCCCAGTCCTTTGGCAGTTGACTGGAGTAGCAGTCAATGTGTGGGTGAAAAGGTGCCTAGGAATACCATGGAATGCCACATGATGCAGGGACAATCCAGGTCCGTGTAGCAATCAGCAAGACGTGGATGTCTTGCGTTTGTCCTCGAAAAGAGTGGACCGACCGCGGACGACCCACCTGGCTGGCGCACCGACGACCGAGGTCGATGCCAGTGGACAATGGGTGAAGTTGAAGAGCAAGCACTACCTTCCCGTGAAGGCGGCGCTGCCGGGGCGGCCCCTTTTCCACGCCGGTGGCACCCCCTGTTGGATGATCCAATGAAGCAACGGAGACATGGTGTGTTGGGTTTTGCATGAGGGGCCTGAGACCGAGAGGAAGCCCAACGGTTCAGACCGTGTCATGTGTGAACAGTCAAGCCCACGACTCCATGTCTTGTGTTTGTGGGAGGGGATAGGGGTTTGAGACCCTCAGTTACACACCATGGTCGCACGTTTAAATGTTTGTGATTGAGCGCCACTTCGATGCATCCCTTGATCCCTGGCCCGCTAAGCTTGGCTCAGCCCCAAGCTTATAGTAGATATTTTGGCCGAGGGTCTATGACGCAGCTCCCCAAATGACCTCCGCATACGAAGAAACGAAGAAAAACACAAAAACAAACAATCGCGACAACGACGCACATCTCCTCCCAAAGGTCGGCCCCAAAGGTTCAACTCCATCGCGCATCGCCGTGTCCGCCGTGGTCAAAACCGGCGGGCCAGCGTTGGTAAGCTCGTTCGGAACCCGGTCGCGCGCCGGTCCGCCATGTCCGCCACATTCCTGGAGAAGCTGGATGACTGCCAAAAGAATGAGCTGGTCGGGAGAGCTTTGAGGGCTCTTGACACAACCCAGTGGCTTGGAGTTCCAATCGGTTCCTTGCTTGCTTGCTTGCTTGGAGCATGTTCAGATGTAAGGCTGTGACTGGTTGATTTAGCCAGAAGCAAAATATTGAAGGTGCATAATGATGACAGCAATGTAGCTTCGATGCAAGTTGCATGCAAATATGTGAACAACCTTATAGGCGAGACCGCTCACCACTAAGCTTATCCATCACCACTTGTTCTATGTCTAGAACAACAAACGCATCATCTATAATGTATTGCACCGTACTGCATATAATATAGACTAGACGATTATAGATGCACTGTTGATCACACAGTGAAGATGGCCCGGGTTTGATCATACCAAGTGAATCACTGACTGACTCTCCAGTTCGCTCATCATCAGTAGCCACCCAGTCATAGTATTTGTTGGGAAGCTCTATTTGTCCTTGGGTCGGATCGATCCGTCCGCCTACACATACACACCCCAAATTAGACCGTAAATATTCATCCAATTCCATCCCATTTAATGGGCATCCTGACAATTTGTCAGTGATCCAAAAGCAATCCATTCGATCTTCATCCTATACCTCTTTGTTCGATACAAAACCAATATCACCCAACTTCACCGATCTGATAACCTCGTAGGTCCCACCTCTTTGGGAGAACCCAGGTGGGCGGCTCTCCTGGACGCTGCGGCCGGAGAGAAGTCCAATGAGCGGAACATCCACTTCCTCGACCTGGCAGGCCATGCCATCCAGCTTCCCGGTCGAGGAAGCCAACGGCGATCTTCTCTGGGAAGTAAGATGGAGAAAGGAGAAAGAAGAAGGCTGAACCAACTGCGATGTGCAGTCTTCCGACACAGCTATGATGGTTGGAAATGTTGTTGTTTCTATCGAAAGCCTGGACCACTGTGAAGCCTGGCACTTGCCCTGTGCTTCATCAGTCTGAAAAACCATGTAGGAAAGTGTGTTGCTTTGGGAGAAAAGCTTACTCACCTTGGGTATGGTCGCCAAAAGGAGGCGTAGTGTTCCTGGATTCTCGTTCCTTGGACCTTGACTGAGAACTAGTACATTTATAGTTATATATATATGTATATGCTACACCCCCCAAAAAAAGATAACTACCTTTTAGACCATTTCACTAGTATTTGCAATGATTTGGTGAGATTTCAGGGCACAAATCGAACAGCGCATGTTTGACCGTATTGTGGTCTATGACTGGGTGTTAGTTAAATCATTGATTGGTTCTAACTGTTTTGTAGCACCGGCGCCTATGATGATTTTATTGTCCTTATGTTTCTCAGTAAAGTTTAAAACCTTATTATAGATATAAAGATTGGTCATATAGATGTCATCAAAGAAGATGTTGTCATTTTTAGTAAGAGCGGCTTCCCATAGTTCATTAACAATCTGGTCATAGTTCACCTTATGAATGAATGAAGGAGTTTTACAACAAAATGATTTTTACATATTTTTACTTCATTGTTTGCTTCCAACAGTTTTAGTAAAAAGACACATTTCATTATTAAGTTATACCTCTTATTGAGAAACATTGATGCCTTCACTTCCACCATACACAATGTTAAACTAGATAATTTGCTAATGTCAATGTCATCACTGTAATGTTTCCAACTGTCAAACTCATTAAAGACCGGTATGAATTTAGTATGTGTAAATGCCCATGTAAAGGCGTTAGTCCTGTCAATCTCTATTATTCAAAATTCTGCAGAAGTCTTAAGAAATCTTAAGATTTCCCTGGAACCAAGAAACCAAGAACCAAGATTGCGCAGAAGTCTTGGGGATAATCTTGGTTCTTGGTTCCAAGAAAACCTTCTCATCAGAACCAAGATTTTGCCCAAGACTTCTGTGCAATCTTGGTTATTGGTTTCTGGGTTCCAGGAAAATCTTCAGATTTCTTAAGATTTCTGCATATTTTTGAATAATGTTCTTGTTTGCTTATTGTTCTCAAATATAATCTTCACCTGAGATGCACGAAGCTGTGCAAAAATATGTATATATATATATATATATGGTACTCCCCTTTCAATTGACTGATATATGATAATCCCCAAACATAAAATTGTCTAAAAGGTCTGTTGTTTTTCTCTTTTGTGGTGTATGTATACATATATATATATATATTAGACAATTGCTGTTTGCCTTTCAGCATCAAGTACTGTATAGCTTCAAGCATGCCAGTTATTGCCGTGTCTGGCACTGCAGTGGCCGAGCTTCAGGAGGATGAGCGGTGTTTGCCATGGTGGACCGTGGAAGTTCACTTGGGGACCTGGTTCCTTGCAGATCAGGTTGGACATTCACGAGTTTGGCAAAGTCTCGTGAAGCCAAGAAATCGGCGGCCGCTGCAGGATGATAGGTGTTTGCGGCCGCTGTCAGGTGCACAGCTTGCAATCAAAATCTGTTGTGCTCCTGATGAGATCGCAGACAAAGAACTCTTTCATGCATGCGAGGAGTATACTGTGCGCAAGATTGAGCAGCTGCTCCGAAAACCACAGGATCCAAATGGTAGAGGTGCAGCAAATCAACACACCGATCTCGCACCATTTCACATGGCTGCTTATGAGGTGCCTTTGGAAGTTGTGCACTTGTTGCTGGAAGTTGGAGCTGACAAAGATACAGCAAGAGAAGATGGGGCGACGGCCCGCTATGCTTTTGCCAGCTCTCCCGGAGGACTCTGCCTAGCGAGCGGCTTTATGTGTCCTTAACCCGCGACAGGTCACGAAAGGTAGCCCTTTAGGGGATGCCTTGAGTTTGTCTTGCGAAGCAAGTGTTGAGACGTCCGGGTCTAATAATTGATCATTCAATTCAAACCCCCCCCCCCCCCCCCCTCCAATTGATTTTTCAATACAGACCCCCCCCCCCTAAATTCAATTCTCTCTTCAAGACACACCCCCCCCCCCTCTAAATTCAATTCTCTCCTGGAGAACGTCTTCGTGAGCCTCTCATGATTTCAGGATAGTTGAAACCCTCTTGAATATTCAGAAAGAATGCATAATCACGAAAGGTGTTCCCCGAGGGGATACATACCTAGAGTTTGTTTTGTGAAGCACGTCAATTCTCTCCTGGGGAACGTCTTCGTGAGCCTCTTATGGTTTCAGGATAGTTCAAATCCTATGATGCTCCGATTCAATGCTCACCGATGATCTGAGCCATGGGGCAAGTTTGTTTTCCTCAGAATCTTTTTGAACATTTCGAGAGCATATGTTTGAACATTTAGAGTGCATATGAACATATATTTACGACAGGTCGCCTCCGAGGGGATAAATCACCATGTCGAACATTGCATTTTTGTTCCTGCCTCTCGCGTTCTCTTCTCTTCCCGCTGTCCTACCTTTCGTGTCTCCCTCCTCTCAAGTTGGGACACTCGCAGCGCTACCCCCCTTTTGCAACTCTGAATGGGCACTCGGAACTTGTGCACTTGTTGCTGGAAGTTGGAGCTGACAAGATGCAGCAAGAGATAATTGGACAACCGCCAGCTATTCCGAGCCGCTGGGGGCTTTGCTCAAGGGTTTGGTCAAACGCGTTTCTGGGGATGCTGCTGCTGTCTTGGTGGGGTGCTACTGTCAGGGAGGCTGTGCGCCCGCTGCGCTGCCCGTTCTGCCATGCTGATGTGGTCCCTTGCATTGATCACGTGCTGTGGGTCTGTCCGTCCTTCGCTGCGCGAAGGGTGTTCCCGCGTCCCAATTCAGCCTTAGCTGCGCGTTTAGGCTGGGATGCTGGTTGGTCTCTTGACTCTTGTGTTGCGCTTTTGTGTCAGATGGGAACTATTAGGCGTGAAGAGCACACACCAAGGCAACAAACCTTGCAGGCGCCTATCCCTGAAGACCTTGCATGAATGGCGGTGTGTGTCCTTTCAACCCGTGTCAGGTTGGGACACTTGCAGCGCTACCCCCCTTTTGCAGCTCTGAATGGGCACTTGTTGCTGGGGGGGGATGCAGTAAGAGAAGCTGGGGTACCTGGCCGGAAAGCGTTGTTTCTCGAAGCTGAGCTGACAAAGATGCACCAACTAAAAACATCAACCAAGGCTTGGACATGGCATGTGGATGCTGTATGCTTGTTGGATGCTTGAGCTGACAGAGATGAGATGCAGCATAAAGTCTTTGAGCGAATGTGATTTAATGTGATTTATTTATATTTATTTGATGTTGCGCTTGAAAGAGGTGAAGTTGCAGGTTCGCCGTGTGGCAGGTCCAGTTTATGGACCAGTTCCGTTGAACAGCAAAGCCCGCAGGCATGAGTATGTGTGTTTTTTCATTTTGATGGGGTGATGAGGGAAGCACAAGAGGAAAGCAGCTGGCTGCAGTGTGTGGTCGGGTAGACCCGAATCCTTGACTGAAACATCAGATATCCAATTCAGCCTTGATCGTGGATCAACACATTGTATAGATCCAAGATGTTTGGCAAAATCTGGCGGGCCTAAACAGATTCCATGCCAACATCCCAGAGCCCGGTTTTGGAACGTTTGAAGCTTGCAAAATTCGGACACCCTGGACCAATTTGCTGTTGCTTGTGTTTAGACTTGGGCTACGTACATGTTTCATTCCTCCAGTCCTCCATGTTCAATTGTTTCTTCCAGATTCGTTCGGTCCCTTTCGGTTCCTCAACCCGTCCGTTTGCCGGTTGGAACTCAAATCGATCGGGGAGAACCTGGGGCGATGCGACCAGCCCCGGGGATGGTGGGAGACCGAGGGATGGGTTTGCTGGGCCTGCTGCTGGGTGCCAGGGAATCGCCCGCAGGAGTTACTTCAAGGACGCTTCATTCATATTCAACAGGCCATCCCCGGAGGAAATCCTTTCAGACCCCCCCTAGGTGTTTTTTGGCCAAGTGCTGGAGATACAGAGACAACGCTTTTGAGCCCAGGTTGCGAGTGAAGCCGCTTCAAAGTCTATTCTCTGTGAAGCAAACATTACTGGAGAAAGCACAGAAGGTTCTGCCCCCGGTTGATGCTCGGAGAAGTTCAGTTGCGTGCAGGATCGGATCGTGTTGTTCGTTGTTCAAGCTTGTCAAGGTAACATGTTACTTCTGGTATTTAGATGTCCAAGAGGCATGAAATGAACAACGCTCTACATTTCAGGTTGGGGCTCTGGTCCCTTTTCTGGATATGTGCACTTTGTTTTGTCGGATAGCAGCTTGGTACCGCCTGGTTCCTAGGGTTCCCCAAAGTATCAAAGCTTTGTGTCCACCGTTTGAAAACCTGCTTCGGGTTTTATTTACAGAAAACACGTGTTTGTTGTTTTCTTCTTTGATTCATGATCAACGGGGGATGCGTACCGGTTTGTAGCTTAGGAGAAGGCAAAGAGACGAGACTGCCAGTTCTTTCATGGAGAAGCCGAGTTGCCAACACACATGCTGGCAGCCATGTTGCCAGATGAAGTCTCCGTGGTCTACCAGTTGGTGACTGGGCGCCAGATGATGCTTACCGATACTCCGCCGGTCTTCAACATGGACATGGGAACAGGGCCCGTTTGTAGATAACTAAATATATATATATATAGTTTAATATATATATATATATTATATATATTGGAAAGGTCCGTTTTCCATGTCAATCACTGCCAACCAGTATAGTGTTAGTACTGTATGATGTGTTCCCGAGTCCAAGACTTGTTTGATCAAGGCCGTGTTTCTTTGCAAGACTGGTTAACCCCTTGCACTGGCGCATCAAGCTGCTCCCCAAAACAGAAACCAGGTTTTTGCTGTTGTGTGGTTTGCAAGGCAATGGGAATCCGGAAAAAGGATGCACCAGGTCCACCAGGTGAAATTGCTTCAACCTGGTCTCTTCCCCAAGTCGACCTCTCACTCAGCTGCAAGCAGTTAATCCACCGGGGGCGAAAGAACGGACACCCTTTGGATTCATGTGGCTGGACCGTTTTGGGTCCAGCCGGCAGCCGGGTCCCGAATTCCATGGTCCACACAGATCGCCGCTTCGAGTTGGGAGTTCATGATAGGGACTGGCCGCACCACCATCTGCAACCCAATGAGTGACATTGAGTGACCGTGGCTGATGAACGAACAACCAATGTTCACTTGGGCAAAGTGAGTCCGGGCTGTACCGGACTTGGGCTGTAAGCTGGGGGTGTGGAAACAGCGGCAGTACCATCTAGACAGCAAACTGAGGTTGAAAGGTGTCTCTCCACAAGCAGCTGGGGCTTCTTGGATTCCAAAGTTGATTTGTCACACCAAAAGGATTGGAAGTGTCCAGAAGTCGAGGATGATCGGGTTGAGAGTTATCTCGGGGCAAGGATGAGGCCATTTTTCCGCTCAACTCCACCAAAATTTTGCCAGACGCCAGTTAAGAAGAGCAGGATGCATGAAATGGTGTCCACCCCCACAAGGGGCTTTTATAGAAAAGTGTCTCCCAATTCTGCCTGGGCTTGCTTTTGACCATTGCAATCGTGTGGGCACAGAAAAGCATTATATATATATATATAAAACTATCAGGAAAGCGTCACCTGGTCCGCGGAGGGTCCCCCTTCGAAAAGACGCTGCGCGGACGTGCCCGAGCTCAGAATTCGACTCCGAGCGGCCCTCACACTACGACGAGTCCGAGTGGGGGGATGCCGCCAGCGGCGATGCCTTGTGATGCCGATGACGAGCGGGGTGTTTTGTCCCGTTGATCGGTGGGCTTTCGTTGGAGAACATGCGGCGTAGATGTGGTTAAGGGGCAATTTTGGAGGGTAGTTCCCAGGATAGACCTACGTAAGTCGTAAGTACCTATATATACGTATACATATAAGGGTATCGGAAAACAGAGTGTGGAGGTCACGCATGTTAAGGGGTACATTGCTGTTGCAGGGGTATTATGGTCAGGTTTACCGGGCTCACCTCAACATATCTCAACATGTAACTGGTCTCACCCAAACCAGCTGACGAACCTCCAAAACAGTTGCTTCTGACATTGCCTGTTCAATGAGTTTTCGGGAATAAGGAAGTCGATTGAAGTCATGGAAGTCAGGTTTTATGAGGCGAAGGCGGCGAAGGTCATGAAACTAAGCTGAACGTCCTTCGGGAAGAACCTGAACGAAAGCACCGCGGATCATCCAGTGGATGTGCCGTTGCTGGGCCGAGCACAGCCGACTGCCCGGACAATGGGCTCACCGTGGTTTGCCAGAGGAAATGGCCAAAACGACAAGGAAAGTCGCATGGAACTTGGAATGATGGGTGGTAGATCACGCACTAACATGGACCCTGAGAAGGGCACCCTCAAAGATGCTTTCCTCTACAAACTAGTGGTTTTAAGGGTCCATGTTAGTGTTCATCGGGGAAGCGAATCTGCTGAAAAGTTGACGACGGTTCTTAGTCCTTTTGGCTGAATCCACTCCAGCCGGGTTCGCCGCGACTCAAGTCGTCCGGAGGTTCAGTCCGGTCAAAGAAGTTGAAGGGAAGAAAGCAGGAAGGGCCTCGGAAACAGGTGCCAGAATTCATAAACTCACAACACATTCATTAGCAAACCGGCTAGGGAAGATGACCTCAAGGGTTTGGACATGTTCGGACGAAAGCAGAATCCTTTTTAGTCTTCCTTTAGCTAGCTTAGATAAGCTTAGATCAATATTTAGATTTGTGTGTATTTTTTTAATGAGCTTTATATTGGGAGGACGTGCGTGGTGAGCAGGTACTGTAATTGGGGGTTCTTCTGGGTGAAGCAGCTCCGGGTTTGTGGAAGATTTTTGAGGGAGTTCAGAATCAAAAGTCGTCACTGGCTCTTCGTGAAGCCAATTCCTCGCCTGCATGTGAGCCTGAACAGCCTCGCTGCAGCAAAAACGACAGACTCCGTTTCTCGCGCTTGTTCGTGTGGACCTGCGCGTCCAGCACTGATGACTGTTCTGCTTGAGGAGGTAGGGCCAAATATGTCAAAATGAACAAATCGGTTTGCACGATTGATTTACGTGGCCACAGAAAAGTCCATAAGCCAGAAGTCACTCACAACATCTCACAACATGAAAATTCATGCTGCACGGTTTTTGTTGGTTGTCAGTCCTGTGGCCTACGATACGAAACACGCTCCCGAAAGACTCTCCAAAGAAACAGGCTACACTCGTTTTTCACCAGGCGATCCGACGATCCAGGTGGTTTTTTACCACATGCTGTTGAAGTCAAACCCTTACTTTGGGTTTGCCCCCATGAACACAGCAAATCCAAGTCAACCAACCATTCGGCTCAACACAGCAAATCAACATAAATCAGCAGTTGATTCACCAGGTCAATGATGGATCTCAACTGATCTCAACATGTGTTGTTACAAATTCTGGGCGGCACTCCTTGATTCTCCCCAGCCAGACGGGGGCCTGGCCAGACGGGCGAACGAACTCCCCACGCTGCGTCAACGAGTCCCGCGCTAAGAATGACGAGTCCAGGTCGGGAACATCCAAGTCCTTCACGTCGTCGACCCCAAGGACGTGGTTCGACCCCTCGCGACGATGGACCATGTGTGGCGGGTGAGAATGAGAACTGGTGGTTGAAGGCCCTGGAACAAGGGGATCGCTGGGGCGGAAGCGCTTTGGAATTGGTATTTCTTGGGAGAGTGTGGAAACCTGGCTTTCAACCGAAACGACGTAAAAGACAAAACCATGGCGCCAAGGTGGTTCGAGTCTGCACCCTTTGTGCGCATGTCTCGCGGTGTGATCCCTGCCTAGCGGCGGTGGGCTTGGTCAGACCGGGTCCGAGAATCCAGCGCCAGATTTATCGTGAGGATCCAGGATCCCGTGTAGAATGGGACGACAGGCCTGGTCGAGATCCAAGGCATTTTGTGGGGTGCGCTCTTCTTCCTTGATTCCTTCACCATGTTTCACCATGAAAGAACCTGTACCCGGGATCCCCGCTAGGCTTTCTGAAGCAAGCCTTGGGCGGCCCCCTGGTCCAACGGGAGATGCTGTGTGCAGGAGCCTGCCGCGGCCACGCTCAGCCCAGAGGTGGAGAGTCAGCGTTTTGTCAGACCAGCTGATGTTCCAGACCAAGCAGGGGGAGCGATAAATGGAATCTGAGTCGAAGTATGTCGAAGTGCTAAGGTGAGCAAAGAAGAGCATGTTTTTGGTGGATCACCCGTTTTTTGGTGTACTTTACGTTGCAAGAAGTTTCGACAAAACCCAGACCCTTTTGGCGAACACGAGTCCTGAAGATTGGAACATGCCTTTTCAAACAAGCCAACGATATACATGGGAAGGGATCTTTTGCACGCTGTTCTCACATGAAACATGTGCAAGACATGGCAAGTTGATGCGTTTCGGTGGTTTTCAGGTCCATGGAGAGCCTCTCGGAGAGCCTCGGAGAGGGGCTCAAGAGGTCGGACATCCCAAAGGCATGACACATCTAAGCTGGTCGGATCTCTTAGGCTGCCATCGTTTTCATCTGGACATCCCATGCCTCATGAGGATATTGAGAGTTCATTCTTCTGGTTTATTACATGTTTATACTGATACTCTAGCATGCAGGTAGCTTCTCCCGTTGACTAAACTGCTCCCCAAAAAAATGCTTTTCTCCAAATGGTGAAGGATGGTTGTGGGATTGGAAAGGTTGCCCTTCCTCTGATCCACACTGATCCACGGAGCTCTTAGAGTCTACACTCCACACATCTCTAGACCCCTGGTGCAGGTTGTGCCGGTGCCAGTGGAGGAGGATGAAACCAACTTTTGGTTCACTTGTTGCGCTGGGGACCCCAAAAGTCGTCGGTGATGCCACGCCGCCAGGCCGGTAATTTAGCCAGCTCATTTGTTTTGATTGGGCCTGGTCAGCTTCAAGGGACTCTCTAAATCTCTGAATGCGAAGGGATGGTGTTTAAGACGGTTTAAGATGCTTAAGAGCTTTTGCCAAACAGGAAAGCTCCCTCCAGAAGCTGCATACATCCTCCTAATCCTAACGGTTGTAAGGTGTTCTTTCTTTTTCTGGCGAGGTGTTGCCCTATACTGGCAGCCTTCTTAAAGAGAAACTCTCCATCCACCTGTTCAACACAATGAGCAATGACCTCTATGGAACAACACACGCAGCCGGGTGAACACCAATTACATCCAATTACTGAGTCTCCCTCACCCTGTCCAAATGATCATGTAGATCATAGATAGGAGGCTTTACCATGCTTTACCCCTTTGCCTTCACAAATAATGGATATCCTGGTCCCCAGATGTGCTTTTTTCGGTGCTCAGGTCCTCACCATTTGTGCTGCAAACATCCAGCCTGACCATCCCAAAGACATGAAAACCATGTATGAAAGCGTGGAGGAACACATGTTTGCACTTGTCCAAGCATGTATGAAAACTTGTTTGAGAGACTTCTGAAGTTCTCACATGTATGCCAACTAGTGCGTTCTCCCCAACTTGGACCAGAAGGCCCCGCTCCTCGCATCTCCTCGCGCTCTCTCCGGACAGCGCGCTCCGCTCTCCCGAGGCCGGCTCTGCGGCCGTGGCCGAGGGCAATGATCTCCACGTGACGCCTGAGGAAAGAGATCCGACGACGGTCGGTGACGACGGTGACGAGCGATCAGGTCGGTGAGAAGAGGAAAGATGAAAAAAACCATGGAGAGCTGCTTAGTTCTATATGTTGTTCCTTTTGGAGTGTTTTTTAAACATACTGCGGGTCAAGTCAACTTATTTTTGTTGTAGAAGAACAAACCTGGAATATCTTGGGGAACATGGTCTCTTGGGATTGTGGAAAGAACTCTTCAAGCCGCCAGGATCGTGGAAACTATGGCACCTTGGACGGCTCAGGCGCGATACCTGGGCCGTGGCTGCAGCGGGGGTCCAAATACGAATGCCCTTATCCAACACAAGCTGTCCTGAAGTCACCTACTGTCGGTCCTAAAGCTACCTACAGTACTGTTCAGAAAGGTGCCCAACAATCCGCGCTTTTCGGAGTGTTGAACATGGCCATCTCGGGAGATCCAGCAAATCACACGTTGGTTTCAGGTCGATTGAGAACAAATGCCAGATGGACACTGGTCCCAGAAATGGCCGCATAGCGGTCACCAGTGGGAAGACCTTCGCAGTCCGATTCCAGTATTTGCTTCTCTAGAAAGGACCCCCAAAAGTCAAGGATCATCCACTATTGCAGGATATTGCAGGATTATCCCTCTTAGGTGAGCATTGGAAGATATTGGAAGAAATCTGTGGAAGACAACTTTGCTTAATGGAGGCATAGGTCAAGCAAAACCTGCATGACCGATAGAGGCTACTGGTTCACCGATACTCTTGGTATACGTGTGCTTTCATGCTGGCAGATGTGGAAAGTTCCTTTCGAGTCAGTTTCTAGTCAAAACGGTGTTGCCTCAGTTTGTTGGGTGCTAGTGATGGTCAACGTCTATAGAAGCTGTGCCCAATACCCAACCGATATCAGCCGATATCGTACTTTTTACATGCGGTCAACTTAAGTTAAGCCGACCGATTGTCTTCTTGCATATACAATTTGAAATTTGCCTTGTGATTCTTGATGGGTTATGGGAAGTGAGCTGCAGCCACAAAAGCGCATACTCTTCCTCCAGCAACAGTTCGTTTGCATGCTCTTAGGATCACTTGTAAAGATTCTTCAACATGTGTAAATGTTTCGCTTGTGTACAAGTCTCATCAGATCTGACCCAAAGAGATAAACACCTGCTAAGCCCTCAGCTTCACTTTCTCAAGCCTGGGGAAGTGCCAAAAGCATTCAAAATCATGATACCCGATAGGGGCCGACCTTG